TTTGCGCAGACCAAAGTGCAAAGCAGTGAAAATCCTCAGCAGACAAACGTTCGCTGGACGGAGCTGTGTAAAACGTATAATTGTGCACCGGCTACCCTGGTGCGCCCACTGTTTGCTCTAAAACTGCAGTGATTTTCAGCGACTTGAAAATGCAGAGGCTTCAAAAGAGACGCTTCTTTTGCAAGGAGCTTGCGCGAGCTGCATTGATCGGAAATGGTCCGATGCTTCCGAATACATTATTGCACTGCTTACTCTCCTCAGCGAGACAGGCAAATTGGTAGGTGCTCTCCGTTATTTTAGTCCGTGTTGGAAGTGTAAATTGTGGGTTTTAGAAGAAAGGTGGCAGCTGCATCGCCGGCACAGGAGATGGAGTGTTAAGTTCCAGTTGGAAAAAAGAGTTCCCTTCCAAGAGTTGCGTTCTTTTTTCGACAGCGTAAAATCGATAGGAAAAGCAAAGCGAAGTGGTTGTCTAAGTATGATAAATCGTATTTGGACTTGCAGTATCCTAGTCTAATTCATACAGTAATTATACTAGAAGCTGATTGTTAGCTGTCGGCGTCTGTGAGAAATCTGATGGCTTTTTTCGTTTGTCGCGGACAGAATTATGTCCTTGCGCTGGCAATTTTCTTTAGTAAAAGTTACAGGTTGAAATGGAACGGCGGAAGAAGTCACCCGAGAATGATAACCTTCCACGGGTATGCATTACGCTTATGCATCATCAACCACTCCATTTATGCGAACTAGCAACTCGAGCAGCATTCCTCAGTGAAATAACTTTTAGACAGCGCAAGCGCTTCACAGTACACTCCCAACTGCAATTTTGTCGTTTTCAGCCTACATTCGCTCTTATCAAAAGAGACGAAGTACGAAGGATTGTGTTCGATATCACATATCATATTTTGTTTCGGGTAATTTATATTATTTGGTATTAAAGAAATTAAAGTGAGATTTGAAAAAGCATTGAGAACGATTACTTCAGATTTACACGTCGACGACGACAGACCACGACAATGACCAGTTGCTGGGCGCGCTGCTCGTACTCTCTCAGATTGACTTCGCAACAAAAGGGCATCGATGTTTCAACCGCATAATGCGTCATGTTGAGGCCAAGGTGTGCAGCAGTGTCAAGTTTGCTATGAAATATACAATGCTGTAGTATTCGGAGCAGCTGCACTGAAGATATCGGAAACACTGTGTATGCGTAAAGTGCGCACTGCATGCAGGGAACTGCCATCGCAGCCATTATTAGTATCATTACTACCAGTACTTTACTTTTATCTTTGCTGCTTTTCGTTTTGTTGTTTTGATTATAATGGCTCTTATTGTTTTGGCACTATTATTACTTTTTGAATTTTTTTCTTCTTTTCTACTTCCACT